TAATCATAAYTTCAGGAATGCTGAGCTCACATGTTTGCCCTAGGGTAGATGGAGCAGACACTTTTCCACTTCTCCAAGTCTGGATCTGGCCAGGGAGTTCAAGGCTATAAAGGCACGAAAGGAAACTCACAAATGCTAATTTCATCTCTTTTTCCCTACACACAGGGACAGCACAGGGGAGGACCTCACTTGGAACCAGCTGTGTTAGTTTTCTACCATCTGTTTCTCTCTGCAGTGGCACTGCCTCCTGCAACAGGGGTGATATATGCACCACACTGCTGGCTCTCTGGGGTTAAAACAGGGAACATGGACAGAAAACAGGCACYGTGCAGCAGCCAGATGCAATGTCAGAGTGAGAAGACCACCTAGTTCCATCTGAAGGACAACACAAAGCAAGAACTACTCTCAAAAAGGCCTGCTCAGGAGGTCTAAGGCACCCTATCCACAAACATGAGCTATGAGCTAYGTTCACGGAGCGCAGATTGTTACTTTCTTCTTTCTGTTCATCACTGAGTTCAAGGATCTGGATGCCATTCATTTTGAGTAAGATAAAGAATTATAATCTGAGTCAAGATCAATATCCATATTCAGTGGATGTATTCTATGGTTATAGTGGAAAAAAAATGAGATCCCAGAATACAAATATCCTATGACTTCACAGGATTCAATATCCTTCTCAGAATACTKATTTTGCTGTCTGGGTTCACATTTCAAATTCAAATTCTCATCCTGTTATATGCTAAGACCCCACAGCTCTTATCCACTTCAATATAAATTACAGGGTATAGACGGTATGTCTTTTTTATGTGTGACTCTAAAAGGTAATCCAGCCCATGAGAACTCAATCACACCTTCAACAAATCTCAGACTTTTACTAATAAACAAGCACAGTTCTGGTATAAACAAAGCCAGCTATTTGCACATGTTTAATTATGAAATATGCTGATATAGCCTAAGAGAATAATAATAATTATTATTGTAAACATTCTGAGAGGTAAATGACAGAGAGCAGATCCCCAAGGTTGAAGGACCGAGGCACCAGAGTGTTTACTACACAAATCACTATTTTACTAGGAAAATGGTGTCTTCTGTAGCCAACATTCCCACGAAAACACCTGTAGTCTCACAAATACACCTGCCTTTACAAAACGCTGACACAGCTTCATATGTCTTATTTGGTGTGACTACAAAAGTCATTTTATGTATGCCACAAAGTTACTATTCAGAGATGAAAAGAGACAGTCTAGTTGTGCCAAAAACCTTAGCAAAGATCAGATGCATTAGCAAAGATCACATGAAACATGCATTTGCTTAATTTTAAATGAGGTAGGTTTTACTGGTTTTGAGCCCATTATAGGAAGTTAGCCAAACTGGCTATAAAGAGGCTTTCTCATTGGAATGAGTTTTAGAACAGGATTGTGTATTTTTTAACAGGAGAATCTGCTACATCCATTTTTCTGCAAGTTATTTACAGTCCATCTTTCTAAGATTTCCCTCAGCAGTTGAGAAGCACTGGTCAGTACATCTCACTAACACTTTTAAGAAATACAGGCACATTGTGCAAGTGTGTTTACCGAGAAAGTGCTTTTTAGAGATTATCCCTTTCCACTCTCATTTTCATTATTTTTGCAATGAAGTATGTCCAGAAAGAGGACGTACTTCGTAGTGTGTTCATGTTTATCTGGAAACAAATTATTATCTTCAAAGAACAGTGGCTGTATGTGATGGAAAATAAAAGCTGGTGTACAGATAAGCATCAAATCAGTATTGTCAGTGATATCCCAAGAAGTGCTACGTTGTCAAAAAAAAAAAAAAAAGATGTAGGTTTGTATGCAATCTGGTCCCTGCTGGTGGACACAGGGTGGCTTTCCAGCCCCCCRGTGTCACCATCTCAGCTGTTTTGGTTGTGAGCTCTCGTCCAGCTGCTCTGCCACTCAAGGGGTGGCCTCTTTCCCTCCCTAGGTGCCAGCAGCTGCCCAGGCCTCGTGGTGCAGACCAGCCTGTCACGGCCACCACGTAGCTGAGCTTGGAGGGCACCTCTGGACACCACCTCAGCCAAGCGCTCTCTTGCAGCCAGCTAGAGAGGTTCGCCAGGGAAAGGAAAAGGAAAAGCAGATTGCTGCCCTCTTCCTCCCTGTAATTTTATTGGATCCAATCTCCACAGATCAACCTGTGACGCTAACAGGAACTGAAAACGCGGCTGCAACTCGCTCACACAGCCTCCCCAAGGAAGGGCACTGGGGAGCGGCGGACTCCTTACACTCATGCGCTATCTGTGCAATAAATCAGCACGTTATCCTACCCCCAGTTTACAGGGYGAGCCACAGGTCAGCTCGGGTGGCTCTGGGGAGCCACCCGGCCTCGCGGGTTCACAAGGAGGGTCTGAGGGGATGCAGGGAGGCAAGTGCCTGCAGGGCATGGACAGACCAGCCCACCTTCCCCTACAGCCCCAGCGGCTCCCCGGGGACACGTGTGACTAAGAGGCGCAATCCACGTCCTCTGCTAGGCCTGGRGATCAGCAGAATGGAAGATAAGCGGAAAACGGGCAGATAAACCCAAAACGAGCCTAACCCCGCCCCAGGCGGGGGGGAAGGGGGGGCGCCAGAACCCTCCCGCGCACATGCGCACTCGGAGCCTGCCCCCACCTCCCCTTTCCCCAGCCTCGGCCAACAACCTAGCGGCTGCCGGCCCGCGCGCATGCGCGGCGCGCAGGGCGGGGCTGTTTTTCTCTGGCACACCTGGGGCGCGCGCGGCGCATGCGCGGCGC